AATGAAGTAGAAAGAAGCCAATACAATACCCCAATAAATTTTAGACCATAGCACCCAACCCCAATAACACTATAGTAGAATGACTGCTAGACATACAATAGAGAGAAAAAGTGACTTATACTACAAGCTCAAAAATTTAAGAATCATCTAAAACTGAGGATATATCATCATCAGTAACCAAAGTCATAGTCCAGATAAGGAGAGCTTTGACCCAACAGTTGTGGTTGCTGCCAAATTAGCCTTTTAGAAATCGGTACATCTAGGTTGTTAATCTCGGATAGCAGCACATTGCGCCGAACCCCTAAAATGTTGTAGCGGAATAGCGGATAGCGGGATGACCGTTATTGTGAAGACTAAAAAACAACGTAAAAAGTATAACATAAATTTCAACTGCATACATAAATACTAAAAAATAGAAGGGAAAAATATTGTCTAGGTCCTTTAAGTTATTTTAAAATATCAAGTTAGTCCCTTAAGTTTTTTTTGTATGATTTGGTCCTTTTTAAAAAATCTCCATTACAATAAATTAAAAACTCATATACCATTTGAACTGGTTCTTCACGCTGGTCACAAATATGTAATTAGTTTTGCGTTTGATTACGTATTTTGATCGGATCGATGATTTTTCATTATGTATTTCGTCCATTTTTACCTGATTCTCATGAACCATAACTTGTTTGATAAATTTGATTGCATATTCGTGATCAGTGCGAAAAACCAGTTCAAATGGTATATGAGTTTGCAATTTATTATAACAGAGATTTTTAAAAAAGGATCAAAGCGTTACAAAAAAAAACTTAAGAAACTAATTTGATTTTTTAAAAATAACTTAAGAACTAAAACAGTATTTTTGCCAAAATAGAAATTGCAACAGCGTATTTATCCCATCAAAATGAGTTCCCATTAAAATCAAACTATAAAAGTGTTCATGCACAACATCATCATCCTCCTCATTGATATTAACCCTAGACATATACTCATTTGTTACATCTTACTTTTTATCATAACTCTAATAGTTTTATTTAATATCATCTGGTATTTTCTTGCAAGATTTTACTTCTTCTCTTATCGCCAACAGATGCTCCTTAATTTTTAACTCTTGTTATTCCTCCAGTTGAATAGTACTCACAAAAATCAAAAAACTGTTTTCTTGCCTTGGCCTTTACAAGAGTTCCACTACGAACCAATATCAAGATTGTCAATAGATTTAAAATAACCTTTATAGTTGAAGGTTGGTGTCACTCTTGCAATGATAGAGGATGATGATGTCATAGCTATCAAAAGAGGAACAAGGCAAGGCATACATAACAGAGATTGTAGGAGTGAAACAGAGCAATGAGAAGTGGAGAAGCAGAACAAAGGATCAAACGAGAACGACAAAGAATGGAAAAGACAACAAGGAAAGCATCGCGGGAGAGAAGGCAAGGGAGAACAGTGTAGAAAAAGAAAAAGAAAAAATGAAAAAAAAACAGTGGAATCTAAAGAAACATAACCCATGGGGTTAAATATTAGACCAGTAAAAGGGTGGGAAAGACCAATATACCCTTAAAAAACTGGAATCTAAAGAAACATAACATGTGGGGTTAAGTATTAGGGCTTACGATTTTGCCCCAAATTGAGAACAGTGGCCATCAAACCACGATGACACTGCTATTGTACCACCATAGCGCTGTTATGAAAGCACTATTAGCAGCCGCTATGACCGCTATCGTCAATACCGCTTCGCAGGCCAATAGCGTAGCAGTGAGGGGCCGTGCCGCTACACTACACCGCTATAGCGCACTATTAACAACCCTTAACTAGACGGCTAAGAACCTTCCAGGCGGATGTTTTGTATGTCTAGACTGTCTTTTTCATTGTCTAGATGCACAATCATCAATCTAATAGCATGTTCGGTTATGCGTTTCAAATACTAATACGGCGTCCCAAAGTCAATTTTGATGCAATTTAATGCAATTTTGAAAAGCTGTATGCCTTAGTTTCACTATGAATGTCCCAAAGTCAAATTTGATGCAATTTAATGCAATTTTGAAAATCCGTATGCCTTAGTTTCACTCTAAATGCACCGCTGCATACTTTTCAACATGGGAATAAACAGACACAAAGGCATTCTTATAAAGCAAATAACAACAAAATGAAACTGAAATTGCGACCCAGTTATTCTGTTGGATGGTTGTGATTGTGACAGAGATTGTGCTATAGAAGCACAATAATCAACGGCGGAAAGAGACAAAAACTCAGGTTGTCTGATAGGAAATGAAAAATAGGATGAATTTGGGCCGAAATGGGGTTTACTTGTCAGTGTGAACTATGAATAATCTTAAAGAAGGAGCTGATTCAAGTCTCAGCAAAGGTCAAAGAGTTGCGAGAAAAGTGTTGTGCCGATTCAACCCAAAATTTTATTTCTGTTCTATGACTGACTCTTCGTGTCTTCTTCCTCCTCTCACCTCCTCTACAATGATTCCTCTATTCCTTTGATTCTTCGCTTATTCTACAACAGTGAGATAGTCTAGCTTTCACACTTTTTATCAGGATATATGTTGCTAATCCTAGATAGTGTCACATAGCAACGACCCCCCTAAAATACTATAGCGGTATAGCGGGATAACCGTTATTGCAAACAAAAACTCATTGTACAAAGTGAAACACATGCTTAAAAATAAATAAATACACAAATCAAAGAGACCTTCATACTTAATAATTAAGAACCTAAAGTACATAGCAATAAAACTCAAACTGAGAAGAAAAACAATATATAACTGAACCAAAGGTAGGAAGAACATAATGATTGTTTGTGAGCAAAAAACATAACATAATGAAGAACAGAATATTACTTAAAAGGGTCTGGACAGGATTGTCATTTATACCCTTAAAAAGACAAGGGTTTAAAAATAGGCTTTGAGGAATTTTCCCTATAACCCTAAAAGCAGATGCAATAGCGGTTTGGGGATGCAATTGGCGGCCACTACAACCGCTATTAGAGCGCGCTATTGACAACATAGATCGGGATTCCTGAAAACCATCCATGCTGCAGTGTCTGAGTGTGTTCCAGACCATGGTTATCAAAGTCATGATTTAAATTTTAAAATTTTACGATTTTACGATCTCACTCACCCCCAACAATCTAGATCTTAAGTAGAATCGTGTGTGGTAGTCAATTGTGGAAAAAAAATGGTAAGACTAATGATTATGTGCCTTCAAGAAGGATGACAAGATACATGATCGGCCATTTTCCGGCCCTAATCGGCCATTTTCCCGGCCACCACCGTTACAAGCCAGGAAGGATGACAAGATACAAAGGTACAGCAGTTACGGTCCATTTTCCCATGAATACACTTGCCTACGGATATATCATGTAGAAATACTTTAAATATGCACTATTATTTTCCGTTTAAATAGTATCTTACAATTTTGTTACGATCTTATGTTTTGCAATCTTGCTACCCCCTCTCGATCTTACAAAAATAATTGAGTAGGATCTTCTGATCTTAGTTACGATCTTATATTTTACAATCTTACCATCCCCTCCCAATCTTATGGCGATCCCGATTTTGACAACCTTGTTCCAGACACAAAACAGGGCACGGTTTTGGGCTGCGAATGTGAATTCTCCACGCAGCACCTTCACGATATCAGCACAATGTCCTCTATTAAGATCCTACCTTTGAGTGGAATTTAGCTTGAAAATCATACTCTATCAAATGTACAGAATAAATTCTCTGACTATAGCTCCATTTTTACCAACGTTTCAAATTTTTAATTATTATATTATAGCACCATTTATACCAAAGTTTCAAATTCTTAAGTGTTTAATTCCATATACTTTCTCCAACCCACTGGGTTTCTTGAAGGCACACAAATAATTCTTTTAATCATGGTGTCAACAACTTCCAAAGATTTTCCCACATGTTACAGAATTCCAATTTCCAAATGCTTAAAGGAATCCTACTCTAGTCTCGTGGTTCATGGATTAACTAACCTCTTTATAGGTATCCGTGTAAAAGTTGTGGGAACTCTAGCCTATTAAGCATTTCATTTGTGCACAAACATTATTGGGAAAATCTTAAGTTCCGCATTGGTTAGAGATAGAGCTTGGAAAGAGTTAGACCTTACGAACCGGCTTTGTATGGATGAGTTAGAACAAACTCTAATTCTAATAGACATAACATCTTTAGCTGATTTAGCATTGTATAGGAGTCATACAACATGTTACTAGAGGGTAAATCGTAAAAGACAAGCATTAGCACAGAAGTATTATTGATCCAAGTCATCAAGATTCGACAAAGTTTTACAATAATTAATTTAAATTCACTTCCAAAACACGCATCTCAATACCACGCCACCAAATGGCCCTTCTGAGATCTTGCATTCTATTGTTCTTTCTTTCCATTATTGAATCATAAAGCTCTCAAAGGATTTTGCACATTGAAACCACTAGCTATTCTTCCAGAACATCTCAATCAAACCCTTCAGAGAGACAGATTATCCAAATGGCAACAAAAGTGAGGCAGGAGGAAGACATTGTTTCTTTTATCTCTGTCCTGACACAAACTACTGTGCATTCACTACGAGATTATTCACTAACTAGATCTCCCCTTCATACAAACCATCTAAATCTATATGTAATGTTTTGTTCAATTATTGAAATGAACCAAACATACACCAAGAGAACTCATACAATAGTCTAACAAATGATACCTTTGAAAACCAATAAACAAATTAACCCGAGCAACAAAAAATGCAATGTTAATTAAACGCCAATACAGCCGCCCAGGCACTATACATTCAAAACGGTGATCCAATCCAACTACCTAGCCCACAGACCAATGATCTAATCTAATAATCCTATAAAATCGTAGATTCATCCAAACTTCAACCCTAGTCAAAATCAGAAAGCAATTAAACAAATCATCTAAAGGGGACAAAAAAAGGTAAAACCTAAAATCCCTAATCAATTAATCACCAACAAAAATGAGAATTAACACAGAGAAAATCGTCACCTATGATTGGTATCCACCGCCGCGAGCATCGTAATCCTCCTCGACGGCAATATTAGGATAAATTGGGGGAAAATCAGCGACGTCATAGGTAGCCTCCTGCCTGAGTTTCTCGATATCAGCTTTCTTGTAGATAGTGCGGATAGAGGGCGGACGGTTACGGCGTTGATCACGAGTATAGTATTTGATGTCGTACACGGTTTCGGGAAGTGAAGTTGGGATAATAGCCCTTTCCTTTACGGTGGCCGGGCAATGAACACGGTACTCAAGTGCACCTGGTAATGCTGATTTGTACTCCGGATGGGAAACGGGTCCTGTTATCTCCCATGGCTTCTTGATGAAGCCCTTCAGCTTCTGCAATAGGGAAGACGCGGATTTCGCCATGGTTGCTCTTGATTCTCGATGCGAAGGTGAATATGGGAATGGGGAATTGGAAGTGGTGTGTCGATGAGGAATAGGATTGAAAGTTGAATCGCGTGTTGGATGTCGTAATGGGCCGGTTGGGTTTGAAGCCCGCAGCTGAAGTTGCTATTCGCACCAACTTTTCCATGGTTTTTGTTTTGTCACCCTTGTAGTTTATAAAAAAAGTTGCATTTTTTACACTTTAAATCCTGCCAAAAACACTTCATAAACACAATTTTGATTTTAAATGACGATAAAATCATCAATGGATTCCATACTCACCATTTTTCATCTAAATGCAATAGGTAATGTGATTCTAAAATTTTTTATTATTGTATTAGTTAAATTTAGATTGTGTAATAGGAAAGGCATGTTATTTGTGTTTGATTTCTACAATCTAAGTAAGCAGTATGAGATTATAAACAGAACGAACAATGAGAAGATATCTCTAATCACAAATGAGATGAAATTTTATGAAAAAATTCTCTCTAAATAAGTAATCATCGAAAATGTATTGAGACCACTTACTCCTCTGTTTGACTACATTGTTGTAATTATTGAACACTCTAAGAACTTTAACACCATGAGAATTGAAGAGTTGTAGAGTAGTTTAAGAAGGTGTTCATATATTGATTTTGGTGTGTCTATATATTGATGACATATTGCTAACAAGGAGTTGTTCATATGAGATAACTAAGTTTAAGAAGGTGTTGATGAATGAGTTTAGGATAACTTATCTTGAAAATATGGTATAATTTTTAGGAGATGGAGATTTTATATTCTTATAAGGGTATAATTTTGAGGGTATCATAAGCTGGATTCTGATTCTAAGGGTGATGGTGTAGATTATACAACTTTTAAATAGTTTGTAGGCTTGTTGAGATATCTTTGTAATACCAGACCTAACATTTGATATGAAATTGGAATAATGAGTAGGTTTTTGAGCAAACCAAAGTGGTCACATTACCAAGCTGTTGTCAAGATACTGAGGTATATTAAGGGGTCTTTAAGGTATGGAGTTTTGTTCCCCTCTGATGCTAAATTTGATTCGGAGCTTATATGTTATTTAGACTCTGAATGGTATGAAGACAAAGTTAAAAGAAAAAGTACTTCTGGATATTTCTTCAAGTATATAGGAGGTTCCATTTCTTGGTGCTCCAAGAAGTAACTAGTGGTTGCATTGTCAACCTTTGAATTTGAGTGCATTGCAGATGCTTTATCTACGTGTAAAGTTGTTTGGATTATGAATTTGTTACAGAATCTGAAGATCAAGGTATGCAAGCCTATGAAGTTGATGATTGACAACAAATAAACTATAATTCTTGCCAAGAGTCCAGTGTTGCATGGAAAGAGAAAATACATTGACACAAAGTTCCATTTTTTGTGTAATCAGGTTAAGAATTAAGTGTTTGAAGTTGTTCGCTTTAACACTCATAACAACTTGCAGATGTGTTAACTAAAGCAATCAAGAGATAACACTTTATTCATTTTAGGAATGAAATTGGTGTTGTTGATTTTAGTCTTTAATATGGATTAATGGATGGTGTTGAAATGTGCAATCCAAATTCACATTAGTTGCATTTAATTTAATTTGAGTTTTATTTCATTTGATTCTGATCGTATAAATACTGAACTTAGTTTTAGGTTTGAATTAAAATTTACATTATAATTGTTTCTATCAATTCCGTTAGAAAATTTGTTACAACATTTCTCTCTCTCTCTCTCTCTCTCTCTCTCTCTCTCTCTCTCTCTCTCTCTCTCTCTCTCTCCCTCTCTCTCTCTCTCTCTTTCATCTTTTCCATCTTCAATCTTAGGAAAAAATATTGTCTAGGTCCTTTAATTTATTTTAAAATAACAAGTTAGTCATTTAAGTTTTTTTTGTAACGATTTGGTCCTTTGTGTTAAGTAACGTTTTCATCGTTTACCTTTTTCAAAATCTTCGTTCCAAAAATGCCTATGTGTCACAAGCGGAGTTGATGTGACATTTAACAATGATGATATGTCATTAAAGGTTGTTGATTTGGCATTTGTCTCCTTCTTTCTTATATTTATGGATATCAGAACTTTAAATCCCCAAATCACATACTTTAAACTCTAAATCTCAATACTCCATCAATGGCCTCGTGTGGTAGTAGTGAACCAAATCAAAGATGTTAGGACTCTAATACATTTATTTCGAGTGCATCCCAAACTGGAATCGAACTGACATGTCTGTGTGGAGTCAAAGCAGTGTTAAGAACAATTAAGAAGAAAGAAAGAAACTTGGGGAAGCTATTTTGGAGATGCAGATACTTTGTTGTACATCGGTTCTTCAATATTATTGGTTTTGGTTTTGGTTTATGCATATATAATTAGTTTTTGTTTAGTTTGTGGTTTTGGTTTTGCCATATTGGGTCTTTGGGTTTATGTTAATGTTAACAGAGTGAAGTTGATAATGTGGGTTGCAAGTTTTTTGAGTGGTATGAAAACCATTACAACGATGAAGTCAAACAAGAGATACAACTCTCATTAATTTCTAAATGTTCTAATTGTGATGAAAAAGATCTTGAAATCAACTTGCTTAGAAGTTTAATTGATAAGGATGAGAAATACACTAAGGAGATCATGGAGAACATGTTGAAGATGTTGAAGATGTTAGGTTATGTCATTATGTTGTTAGTTTTGATTTTTGTAGCGTTATGTGTATTTTGGTTTAAAAGTGGATATCATTGTTACTTTTCATTGTAAGTCATGAGTTGTGGTACTTTCATGTAACACTTATTGACAATGCTTTGTTAAACAATTCTATGTTACAATTATTGACAACGGTTAATGAAACAATTACGTGTTGTAATTCTTCAATTATGCATATGTCGTGTTTAGCAATTCTATACCACTAATGTTACATATATGTTATAATTTGTACACCAGTCAAAACTGGAAGGACCTAATTGTTACATTTTAAAAACATATAGGACGTTGGTGTTACAAATTAAAATCATGAAGGGCATGATGTTTACAAATTATAAACATGAAGGACCCGTTTGTTACATTTTAAAAGATAACAAATATAATGTTTTACGCTATTTTGAACCTTAAACAATAACTGATATGTTGTTTTACACTATTTTGAACCTTAAACAATTACAAGATATCATACTAAGTATTACATAATCTAAACATTGTCAAAGCATTATTATAATGTTATAAACCAATAAGATCCCAAAACATTACTGTTCCGGACTGGGCCAATGGCTAGGCATGATCTGATCCACTTTTGCTCCCATAACGTCCCAATTGCCCAAGTCCAACCACTTTGAGGGGAGAATTTACCTTTCTGCCCCTCCAACGGGGGAAGCTGACCAATTTACCCTTGGTCACAACATTCCTCCTCGTCAGTCTCTTCCTGTCACGCACGGTTCCACCATCCAAAAACAGCCAAAACGCTTATGCTTGTAACTACGATTCTGCTCGTGCCAACGGCTAGTTATGGGCACGTATACCCGTCTCAACGGCTAGTTCTGACAGTTACCTATTCTTTAGGAAACAGTTATCTCGCCCCAAAAATAGGGACCAATGGTCAAGCGTCGGGGGCACTATAAAAACCCTCTCACTTGAGAGGGTTAGGTATCCAATATTCACCCCTGAAACACTCATATTTTGTACTTGCTCTTTCTCTTGCTCGTTTTCTTACTTTAGTATTGGAGTGCCTTGCATGTACACCACATCCTCCTCTTTCACACTCAACATCACAGACGCTTGTCTTTGCCCCACCTCAGGTTCTGATCAACCGGTAAGATCAATGGCACCGTCTGTGGGAAAACTTGTTATCCCCGTCTTTTCTCTCTTCGTAGAACACAAGACCAAAACAATTCTTCAAATTTCTGATCATGCCTGCCCATGACATTAATCTTGATGCTCATAACTCTACTTTCTCCCTGTCAGCAAGACTGATGTTGATGGGGCCACCACCTCTCATAACGGTGATGTCCTCCGACAAAGGGACGAAGCCATAACTTCCCAATCCCTTGCTCGTGCAGATCACGGCGAAGCCCCACTTGTCCCGTAACACCTACTAGTTCCAGTTCCTCCCAGCGCCGACCTGGCCATGGCAGCCCTCCTCGAGGTTCTCAATGAAACCAACCTCATAATCCTCAACCAGAACGCAAGGATTAGAGCGTTAGAAGAGTCCAGTCGTCCAAGATCCCCTCCATCGAGGAAAGAATGTTAGCACACCTCCAGAACCAGAGACCCTGACCATCCGCAAACGCCGCCAGATTTCTTCCTAGAACCAGCATTCCCCACAACCCAAGAGGACCAGAAGAAACCACCAAGCAGAGTCTCAATGTTCGCCTCCGCCCAGAACCAAGGGCCAAGCATGAATCCCGTCTCCTCAACGAGATCTCCGCCCTACCTACAGACAAGATGCCCACTCCCCGTCTTGGACCACCAGCAGCAGCGACGACGAGCCTCACGTCCCGTTGTCCTAAGATATCACAGCCATGCGTCTCCCAAAAGAACTAGAGAAACCCCCCTCTATAGGCATATACGACGGAACAACTGACCCTGACAAGCACATCGATAATATTGATGTGTTGCTCGACTATCGCGGCGTCCGGGCACTATCAAGTGCAGGCTATTTCCGACCATGCTTAGGAAGGGGGAAATGACCTGGTACAAAGGGCTTCCTGACGACTCCATCACCTCATGGAGACAACTAGGAAGACTCTTCTCCAGACACTTCACGGCTCTCACCGTCATCTGAAGACTGGAGCCTTCCTTGAGGCCATCATTCAAGGGAGGTATGAACCCCTGCGAGCCTACATTGAAAGATTCAACAAGGAGGTCGTCCAGGTTTCTACCACCGATGACATGAAAAAGTTTCTGCTCGAACGCGAGCTCCGTCCCTGCACAGAATTTGCTAAAGTTGTAGGCACCCAGCCCCCGACAATGTTGGACGCCTTCCTCCTCAAAGCGCAAGCGTACATTCAGTACGAGGAAAA